GGAAGCTAATGCAATAGTTTGCTTGAGTTGAGAGTGGCTGAAATGGCATAGAGAAGTTAAGTTGCAGACTCTATTTTCTGGTTATGGAGGTTATGGTAAATGGTGTTACAGTTCTGGAATAAGGATGAGGATGAGTTGTATTTGATTTAAGGAAGCTTTAGGAATGAACTTGAGGGAAAACGCACGAGGGAAATGAGAGATACAAGTTTAAGGTCACAACTGTGCATCAATGGAGTTTTTTGTGCAATTTCTGGCTAGAGGGAATTTGGGAGTGTTTCAGGGTGCTCAAAACTCTTGTCTAAGCTCACATATAGTAATTTTATTTATAAGCAACAAGTTTGGAGACTTGTCCTTGATCAGAATTCAAAAATCACATGTTATGGCTCTTTTTCTTGTTTTTCAAGCAAGCTTGACACACATTGTCCCAATGCATAGTACAAGGATGTCTAGAGTGGTTGCAAAATTTAAACATATTTATCTGACTTTGTATGTTGAGTGTGTGCTGAACAAACAAGTTAGAGGCTCAAGAAGAGTGGACTTTATGCATAAAGCCACTTTTCCAAAATGGCAATGTTGCCTTTCTTTCTAAAATGGTATTAAGCATGGGCAATGCATTGAATGCTTGGATTAAATCTTATAGCAGCTGTGCAAAACATTAATTATGGAGTGAAAAACAAGTTTGAGGCCTGAAAAGCAAAGATTATGCAGCCTAGCATGGATTTGGTTCATGTGTTCACCAAAAATGACTTGTAATTCAAGTTTGAAAATCCTAACTTCCTCTCTTCGATTCTCCCTGCTCAAGAATGATCTCAAGGAGTTCTTGGACATTTCGGAAAGCTTGTAATGTGATCTACAACCCATATTTGAATTGCTTTTGAATATTCCCCTTGTAACTATATGAAAAAGTTCCATGAAGTTGGGTCAAAATTCTGACCAAATTAGGGCAAATTTTCACTAAGTGTTTAGTTTCATGACCCTATGTTCATAAAATTTTAACTTGAGATCCAAGCACTTTTGGAAGAAGTTGCGTGAATAAAAGTTGTAGATTTCATGGAGATATACAACTTTAATGTTGTAAGTTTCTCTTTAATCATCTTGCATCATGGTGAAAATTTTGCTCAAAGTTATGAAAAAACAAGAAATTTCCAACACACTGAAAAATTTCTAAGTTTAGAAATTTTGACTTTTCAAAATGAAATCTTGACTTTTTGATTTCTTGATGAATAAGTTTCATATTTTGACATGTTTTGATGAATTATGATCTTTGGCACTTGAATTTGACCAAAAAAGTCAAAGTTTGACTTTTCAGTAACAGTTGACTTTTGATCAGTTGACTGAAAAATTCATATGTTAATCCAATAGACTTGTAATGTTTTGAACCATGTTATTAGGTCAAAATGATGCAATTCGACTCTTGAGATCATGATTTAAACTAATTGACCATTTGCTAGGTTAAAAATCAGAAATTGTCCTTTCTCAGTCAAAACCCTAATTTTGACCATTTTGCCCTTTTGGAGATTTGATAAAATTTCTTGAGGAGTTGTGGTCCTAACTTGATCCAATGATACATATGAGTTTAAAATGTTGACGGGGATAAAAAATTATGAATTTTGACTGTAATTTGGCCATAGTTGACTTTTTCCCCAATATAGTTGATTTTTAGGTCAACTGCTGAATTGACTGAGCAAAAGTGTGATCCAAGACTTGAAACTTGACATGAGTAATCTTGGGGGTCTATAATGATTGATGAAAATCATATGGGGCATAGAAGGTTCAAAAATCTTTGTGCAAACGCAAACCCTAATTTTGGGGTCATCAGTGCATAAGGAGGTGTCTTGAGTTGATCAAACCCTAATGCAGTCTTGAGTCCAAGGAGATCTTGTGATAAAATTCTCGATAAGTGAGAGGGAAAATTTTGGGGTACAACATTGCTCATATGCTTGTAACTGACAAAATTGATAGAATAGAACAACCACATTCTTTTTTGATTCCTAGTAATTCCTGTAGTCTAACAAAAACCTGATGAGCAAAGGAGAGGACGAGAGGTAAGGACTATGAGCGTTATGGATCATGTAATGCAAAGCGAGTGTTGTGAGCTGCAGATCAAGTGCTGCAAAATGAGAGTAGCCAACTAAGAGCTGAAATTACAAGCAAAAAGTAAGTCAGTTTTGGCCTTTTAACAAATATCACTTCAATAAAAATTAGTTCATGCTTCCATTATTTTCAAGCATACAAGTACAAGTTCCATTATGCATAAAGCAACATTACAAACTTGCAGATTCATCTCGAGAGAAACACATCAAAAGTAATGCATCCAATGCACATAATCAGAGCATATCAGTATGTATCAGCCAAGCAAAATAACCATACCAACTCAGTTAATGCATATCATTTCAAAAACAATGTAAATTCTATATCTACAATGCATATTTATAAGTCCATACCAGTTTAGTAAGCTTCATGTTTCTATTATACTAGAATAAATTTAAATTTATTAATCAAAAAATAGATTTCATAAAACACATTTTAAATTATGCCATTCAAAACTTATAAAGATTTGAGAAATGTATGCAAAGAAAAAATGTAGCGCCTTGTTCGAGGCCATATTCAAAACATAATGATTTGATAGGTGCGGAGAATCGCCTTCGGTGATTGATTTCGCCAACCTCTCAATGCAATAAACACCAATTATTGATGCTCTTGCTCTGCAAATTGGCTTTAATAGTCTCTTAAAGAAACATAAAAAGAAAATAGCGTTTCTCTCAGATTGAAGAATTAAAGCAACATTATTTTAAAATGTAACGACTTGTTTGAGACCGTATTCAAAACAAAATGATTTGATAGGCTTGGGGACTCGCCTTTTAAGATCGATTTTGCCAAACTTTAATGCAATTTACGTCAATTATCGACGCTCTTGCTCTGCGAATTGGCTTTTCTTTCTAATTTCAATGCAATTTTCTATATATATATAACTCTAAAATCAACACAATTTTCTATATATATATAACACTAAAATTGTAAAACAGTAGAAGAAAAGACACAAAAAAAAGCAGATCAGAAGAAAAAATTAAATCATAACAAAAAACATATTACATACATAGGGTCTATTTCAACATGCACTATAGAATCTCTACTCTTAACAACACACTAAAGCCACAAAACAACAATAATGAAGAAAACAAAAGTTCTGAATTTACTTGCACGAATAAACAACAATAAACTTAATTAGACACTAATTCAGATCCAACAACAATCTCATCCAAACAACAATAAAAAAAAGTTAGGAACTAATTTCTGAAATAAAACCCTAATTCTTCAGCTACCAATGCATGTCGCTCAAAGTATAAAACCATACCACTGTGAAATGAGCGATGGTTTCCTCTCAAATTTCTTCAGCTTCGTTGTCATCACTACGATGGTGAACTGTGAAATGGGAAGATTTTTGGTGAAAAGGGTTTAGAACATTGTGCGATGGTGAATTTGGGTTTCGGTGAAAAGGTTTTCAGTGAAAACGTTTACAAAACACTGTGCGGTGGGTCAAATGCGATGAAATGATTATTTTACACTTTAATAATATGCTTAGATGATTTTATTCACCTAATAAATTTAGAGCATTAATATTCATCCATTAATTTGTTAATAATATTTAAATTATTTGTTAATATGTTGATATGCCACATAGATTAAATATTGTGAGTTATAAAATTAAATAATTTTTTTAGTTTATACAAATTTACATCCTTTTTTTTAATTTAAAGCGAGTAATTGATATTTGATTATAATTGTTAGAAATATAATTTTTGTTCTGTCGAAATGCATGTGTGGTGTATGTCGAATAATTTATTGTATAGGTCATAAACTGTTTTTGACAAAGTCGAATACAACAGATATTGTAGTATGTTGAAATCATGTTTTAGACTTTAGTGTGTTTTGTCTAATTGTGTATGGGCATTGTTTGCCTATATAAAGGGCTGTTGAGTTTATAACCAAGTGTGTATTTAATAACATATTTTACAATTCAATTAAAATCATAACAAAACTTCAATTTTCTCTCTTCTTCTTCTTCTTTTTCATAAACCATCTTTCTTGAAAACTCTTTGTTCCAACAATAATAATATTTTTAATTTAAACCCGTTTTTAGAAATAGAGTGTATATTGTCATCCGATAATACTTAAAATGAAACTTTATTTACAAAATTACCACCACGTTTCTTATTTACACTCATTTGTTAGTTTAAAGGGAGTAATTGAGATTTGATTATAATAATATTTTTAATTTAAATCCATTTTTAGAAAATAGGGTATATATTGTCACCTGACAATCTTAAAATGATATTCTATTTACAAAATTGCCACTGCAATTCTTATTTACACCCGTTTTTAATATATCGGGTGTAAATTTTAAAATTATATTGTTTTTCTTTTTTGCACTAATGAGATACATATTTATAACTATTGAAAATCAATTATTCCATAAAAGGCTCGAAACACAAATCATTAACGAATGGATCCACAAATAAAAATAATGAAGCTCAACTAATACACGCGAACCAAAAAAATTAGACCTAACTCCAATGAACCGAACAGACCGTCAGACTCGAATCCACTGTTGCGCCATCATCATTGACTCTATCTCTAGACTGGTTCTAATTTCTCCAATCTCAAAATATATTTGATTTCTTTTTGTCACGTATTATTTTAAGACATACTTCAACACCTACTTTAATTTTTCGAGTAAAACATTTATTTTTCATGATTTAAAAAACAGTATTTTATATCTTTAACTCATACACTCTAGTGTGTTTGAAGTTAATAATCCAACTTTAAATAAGTCTTCCATTTTTCTAATTCCTGTAACATTGTGTAGTTTTAATCATTTAAATATTTAAATTTTGTTGACATTTCAATATTAACCTACTCTCAAATTTACACATAATGATCATTCTCCAACGCCAAATTGGAAAATAAATTTGCACGTTGATTGAACATATCCTTAGCCATCAAAATGCAAACTGATCATAAACATTCTCAAATTCAAATGATTCAGTCGTTAATAGCATAGTGGTATGTTTCAAATAATCGAAATAAACTTCAAAGTTACATGGCAGGATGTTCTCTGGTAAGAACAATTGATTTTGATCAAAATAATCATCATGAATCTCTTCCATGGGGTCCTCTTTTATTGAAGCAAAAAGTGGTGGCGATAGCAATGGCAATGGTGGTGGAAGCTGGTATTCTTGTTTAATTAGAATGTTGTTATCAAAACTAAGCAATACAGAAGAGTCAACAGAAGATATAACTGGTTCCAAATTTATGTCGGAATGGAAAGAGCTTTTGCAAGTGTGATAACCATAATATGTAGTAGTGTACAATGGAGGATTCTCTTGAGTTCTTTGAACATGTTTCATTGCTTCACAATGCTGATCGCTGTGTGTGCACCTATAGTAGCTCCTGCATATATACATCTAATCAAATAAGTTTTCAATTTCAACCATGTAAATTGAGGTTTCGTCATGTTTTTACCACTAACTATACCTCTTCAACACTTATATTTATTATCATGCGGATAGAGATGGAAACTATATGAAATTGATGAACATATGATATACCTGTAGTATTTGGCTTTTGTTATCTTTTTTTGTCCGTACTTTCTCCATGTATAACCATCATCAATCAATATTGAGCTAGTCTTTTCCCCATTTGCTGAAATTGACCTAAAATATCAATCAATAAGTTTTCATTCAAAATTGCATGATATATTGAAAAAAATATCTATAAATTAGATCTATGAATTCTTGTTATTCTTTTAAATTGGAACTCAGTACAGCTAGACCTCCAGACATGGTATGATGTTCTCAGGTAAAAACAATTGATTTAACTCATTTTTATAAAATTAGAGTATATAATGTTCTATTAAACTTTATATTAAATCAATGTAGGATTTGAGTTTTTTCCAAAACACCCACGTGCCTAAACTTGGTGCATATGTAAAAGTTGGGTGGTTTGAATCAATAGACTCGTGAAATCATATAGAATTTGATGTATATATGTGGGTTCGGCCTGATTCAATCTTATAGAACCAACTTATAAAGCGAGAGATGTTCATTTATATAAAGTCTTCTCAAGATCTATCTCTAACCAATATGGGACTTGGGATATTCCTAATACACTCAGTCAAGCCCATCACTTTTTGGCCTTAGTGCGTGGATATAAACACCGACTGATCCATAGTCATATATCGATAAACTTTGTAATCATATTATAATTAGAGTTTGCCTCTATCACCGACGAGGAAAATTTGTCTCCGATCTTATCACAAATCTTAGTGTTTCTATTTATGAATCGAATTGTATCTTTAATACAAACAACATCAAGAATAAACACTAAGTCTAAAACAAATCAAAATCTCTATATGAAATGAGCAACAATAGGAGTAATAAGTCAAAGGATTTGAATAAATTTGATTTGAATCTTAAACCAAATCAAGAATCGGAAACTCCAATGTAACATAAACAAGAGCAAGAACAATTCAAAAATCTATGCGGTGCAATCGATCTTTGAAAATTGAAACCCTAGAAAACCAATGTAGCCAAATCGGAACATAAAGATTTGGTTTGAATCGTAAACTTTATGAAGAAATTCTAAATCAAAAACTATTCTGAAAACCAAAATAAATGAGTAAATTTACAAGGGATTAAGCTTTCTAGAAAAAATGCAAAAAAATATTTTTCTTAAGTTGGATATCAAATTTATTAGAAGTTGATAATAATTCAAATGCATTCTAGAAGTTTCAGGAATCGTTTCGACGAAACAGCTTATTTGAAAAACACTTATGGAAATCAAAAATCTGAAATTTTCGTAGAGGAAATCGATTTCCACCAGTTGAGATTTTCTGGAAGTTGCTTTTTTAGTTCAGGAAATCGATTCCCTTGTTTTGGGAAATCGATTTCTGGCGCGTCAGTTTGAAATTTTTTATTTGTTTATGGGCTTGTTTGGTTCCAACTTATTTTAGATGTATCCTAAAATTACCCTCTTGTAATGTGTGTTTGACAAACAGTTAGTTAATGTCAATTTTTATATTTTCTCCTCAATTAATCACTTTTCACCAATTTGTTTCTAAATTTCATCTTCTCCAATTAATCACTTTTCACCATTGATTCACCAACTCCTTTTTATGTATGTTCCAACAAAATTTACTCTGATTATCATAACATAATTAGAGTTATGGTCTAATTCATCTTTATAAAACAAATTTGTAAGGTATTGAATGTCTCCCTATATAAATCTTTAATAAACTAATCTTTAACCGATGCAAGACTTAGATTTTTCACAATAGTCAACATATAATAACCTAGGTGAAAAAGTGTTAGCAAAAAAATTGGTGAACTCGAATTTCAAAAGGATCTGAGTGTAAGTATGTAGGAAAACCTTTGAAACAATTCAAATACTCAAAGGAACATAGTATAACCGTATAAAAAATGGGTTAAGGATCATAATTCTTACTTTCTCTTGTTCGACCCTTTTTGTTGTTTGGTGTTGAGGGTCTTGAGTTTCTTGTAAGCTCCATCTGAAATATCTCTACCAGTTAGAGGAACATGATTGGAGTATTGATTGTTGTTCAAAAGCATAAGAGTATTTGACAATGATTTGAGAATTTGTCGCACAAGATCTCCGACTATTAAGGTTGATAATGATTTTGAGTTTGACCCATTGACTTCCTTAATAATATTTGACTTATCAACAAAAGCAAGTAGTTTATTTGCCATGTTATGTCCTTTTAAAAGCTCTTCTTCCATTGCCTTTTTGCCATTAGTAGAAAGCCAAACCAGATTCTCCATTATCTTTTTGGGAGTGTAAAATCGGTTTAATATTTTGGATATGAGAGAAATTAGAAAGAGAGACGCATCCTTTTATTCAAATTGATCCTTTCCAATTTGCAAATTTAAAATTTGTTTCATTTGGAAGTATATTCAGAAAAGCTCCTCGAACATGTTCATTTCACACTCACTAAAGTGGTGCGTGAACAATTCACGTCATGTTTTGAAAATAGCTGAGCTCAGCAATGCTAACATCATGTTGCTGACAAGAAAATTTGATGATTGTAAGTAGAAGACAATAATACCCTTTGATTGATGCTAGGATATTATTGAAGCCGCCCACGTGATTTCTTTGTTTATTGAAACTAGTTAAGGGTAATTTAGGATATATATATATATATATATATATATATATATATATATATATATATATATATATATATATATATATATATATATATATATATATATATATATATATATGCATGAAAGGACAAATGCCAGATTGTTAACTGATTCTTAATTTTTTATTCTTTCCCTATTTGGTTGTTTTGGATTGTACTTTTTAAAGCCAGTTTTATCATTATGATCAATTGTTGTTGGTTGTTACATAATTAAATCAGACGACGACGAAACCATTGCTAATATGTTTTGACTACAAAAGAACTGTGTAGTTTCACTATGCCATCTCTTCATTAATTTGTTTTTTTGTTTTGTTTTTCGTGTGTGGTTGACAAACTTTTTCACTTGACGTACGTGGTTCTTCTACTCATGTTAAGTTGTGTTAATACCAACTCATCCATTATAAAAAAAACATATTATTCTCTTCCGTCCCACAATAATGAGTGACTCAGTCCACTATTTCACATATATTAAAAAAAATTTATAAAAGTAAGTGAGAGAATAATGTTTTTATTATAGTATCTCTAATAATGTATTAGAAATGATGAAAGTTTAATTAATTAGAGGATAAAATTGAAAATTTTGTATTGGAAATTGAAATGAGTCATTTATTTTGGGGCACTACTTTATTCCAAATGGATCACTCATTGTGGGACTAGAGAGATGAGAGAAAACACTCTCTTCTCTCTCCTAACTTTCTTTTGTATTCTTTCGTTTTTGTTTTCTTTTTCTATGGCAAATCCAGTGTGGTTAACGACAAACAAAGGGGGTTTTCGCAATATTGTTTCACGGTGAGATGTTTTTCTGGTTAACCGAAGGGTGGCAGGAGCTGTGAAGAAGAACTTTTCATCTATTTTTTTCTCCGAGATTGCAGATAGAAATCGAGCAGTGGATGTTTTTGGGTTGTTTGGTTGCATAAGGGAAGTCATCGAGGTGGTAATTTCTCCAAGGAGGAATAATTTGGGTAAAAGATATGGGTTTGCGAGATTTAAGGAGGTAGAAGATGTTAGGATGTTAGTGGTTAAACTTGACGACATTCAAATAGATGGTAAGAAATCATGTTAATCCATCCAGGTTTGAGAATGGAGGAAGATACAGAGTAGAGGGAGGAAGGGGTAGACTGAAGGGTCTTTGCAATGTTCATAAGGTCCATCAAAATGGGAGAGCTTTTGAGTTTAAGGGTGTTGCTGGCGGTAGAAAGTTTGTTGATGCAGTTTCTAACAAGCATTCGGAGAACTATCAGAAAAAGGCACATAGTCTGGAATTTTATTCTAAGGAGGAAGTGAAAGAGAGATTAAAGAAGGCTTATATAGGAGAAGTTCACAACCCAGGTTCAACCTACAGTTTATAATCGAGTTTCGAAATGGAGTGGTATTTTTTGGTTAAGGTTACTCCGATGAGAGCAAACTTGTGCCTTCTTGAAGAAATGGAGGAAGGTGAAATTAGGGATTTGATTAGTGAAGGTTCTTCTTGGTGGAAACAATGTTTCAAAGCGATTAGACCCTGGACATATAATGATGTTGATACCGAAAGGGTTACTTGGATTCACATTTTCGGGGTTCCTTGCCAAGTGTGGTGTTTCGAGTTCTTTGAAAAGATTGTTAATTTAATTGGAACGTATGTTTGTTCTGATGATAATCTGATGAAAGGAAATCTTATGAATATAGCAGGGGTCTTGGTGAAAGTTCATGTTCTTTTATATTGCAAGAACACTTGGATGTCTTGATAGATGGTGTAATACGGTGGGAGAACTGACTTTTGGATTTTGCATTTTATCGCAAATATTGCGGATAACAAGAGTCGTCACTGACTTTTCTTTTATCTAATAAAGGAAAGAGTGAAAAGAACAGGAAAGACCTGTGAGAATTTTCTGAGTTCGGGGGATAAGTTATGAAAAGGAAAGGTGTTAATATCCTTTTTCATCTATAGTTATCTACGGGCTCTTAATCGCTAGCTCACTTTGAAAATGCTTTGTGTTTGTGTGTGTTTGCAAATATTTGAAAATGCCTAAGTACGCAAATTTTGTAATGATTCTCGTATCGTTGAGAATGTATATAAAATGTTTGTTTTTGAAAATATCTGTTGAAAGGAATTGTTGGTTTGTGAAAAGATGTTTTAAAAATGCCAATGTAAGGAAATTTTCTTTATAATAACCCTTGTATCAGTCCTTGAGAGTGTTTATAAAGCATTTTGAAAGTAGTTGTTTTGAAAGTGTGAAGTGTAAAGATTGTTTTAGTTTGTGAGCAAGCGGTTACGAGAGATCTACCTACTCAAAAAGTCTTTGTTCTCTTCCTTCTCCTTTAGATAGTGCTACCATACTATTAGTTGGTAGAAAGCTATATCATTGGATGTGAGGGACGCGCGTGGGTCATCGTACAGTCATAGAAGACAACTTGTAAGACACTTTCGCAGTTATCGTAAGAGACTGAGATCGTTTACTGAAGGCAGCATCGAAGGGTCATCGAGGGACTACGATCTTTTAATCGAGGGTCTTTGCTAGAGAATCCCGCGTTCGAGGGACTTGACTGTTTTTTATCCGAGGCAACAAGTGAAGTTACCATAGAGGTGCGTGTGTGGATAATGATTAGTTTCAGTTATTTCTTTGTCTTGAAATTAGGTTTTCTAATTGTTGAATTTTAATCTTGTCATACAAACCCTAATTACTAACAGTAATAAGGAAAGCAGTAAATTGCGGAAATTAAATGTTCTACGCTATTACAACGCTTTCAGAGTGGGGGTACAAATTTATGAATGGGGATGAAAAAGAAGTAAATCCTAATTTATCTATTTACAAGCTTTGAGCAATTACGTCATTGGGAAATAAAGTACGCGAAGATTTGTAAAAATAAAGAAAAGAGAAAGGAAATTATTTTGTGATTTTTTGATAGAAAAATATTGATGATTAACCTAGTTATTTGATTAATTAAAAAAAGTTAGTAAAAAACTAAAGAAGCTAAATTAAAAATAATGAATGAAAAAATCAATTAATTTAATTAAAAAAGAAAGCTAATTTAGTTAACTTAATTAAAAAAACCTGAGTCTAAATTAATTTTAATTTAAAAAAAAAAGAAATTAATTTTTAGAAATAACTTTAATGTTTTATTTAGAATAAAATATTTTATAGTGTAAAATAATAATAAAAACCTAATTCTATTTATTTTGCAATTTAATAAAATTAAAAAAAGTGATCAAATTAAATTAATTTTGATTATCAAAAATTAAGTCAATTAATTAAAAACCTAAATCTAAATTTTTTTCATGATTTTATGATTTTTATTGATTAAATAAAAAATGAAATTAAAAAGAAAAGAATTAAATAAAACAAAAAAAAAAGAAGAAAAAAAAAACAAATGGGTATGTGTTGTAAGCAAAAAAAGGGGGGTATGGAATAAAAAATCCACTAGGCCTAAATACCTTAAGCCCAGGCGCCTTTGTAATTCAGTATAGGTGACCTTCATGAGGTGCATCGTGGGGCTTGCATTTGCTGCGTTGGATCTGCCTTTGATGAGATCTAATGGTTGCAACATGAGGCGCATGATGAGCGTGTATGCTTGATTCACACTGGATCTACAAAGGAAATGTTAGAAAATAAAATGCTCCATGCCTAGACCAAACCCAGGCCCAGGCACATGTATGACTTAAACACGCGCACGCTGCCACTCGGGTGGTTGTTACATTCGGTGATAAAACAACAATCATTAGATATAAAATAAACAAGTTTTCAAAAATTTAACTTCATCTTCTTCCTCGCACGCGTTTGACAGTAACAATAACAACATCTTCAAATTTTGTAAAAGCTTCATTTCTCAACCAAATTGAAAGATGTAAACATCAAACTTGCTTGATTTTTTTACCACGAATTCAACCATGTAACTTTTGAAAGCTATAAGTTAAAGGCTGAAACGAATTTTGTTTGGTACCAAACTGAAACCTAATATTTCAGAAACTTCAATTCCAAAATTCTCATCACATAGTCAACATAAATGAAAACTAAGGACGTGGTTAGTTTCAGAGCAATCATATCTATATTTTATCTTTTAAAATTGAAAGCAAATGATGTGTGTATAAGGATTTCAAAGTTGGAGAAACTTACCTGTTGAAGTGAAAACTCAGAACGTGTATGGAGGCTTCCAGGTGCAAGTAAATGATTGATTAAGCTTCCTTGGACCTCCCTGAAGCTATTCCAATCCTTACTTTATACCGAAAGTTGCTGAAATATTCTAGCCAAGTCAAGTTGCTGGTCACTGTTTTGGTGTTTAGAGGATGGTGATGGGGATGTTACAGAAGTGTAACAAGGATATGGATGTCTTATATGTGATGTATGTAAGGTGGATGTAGGGTAGGGGTGGCAAAATGGGCTCGGCCCGTTGGGCATGCCCATTTTACCCTCACTTTAGTGCGGGGGGGCCAAGAATTTAGGCCCTCACCCTCTAATGTGACTGCCCCTCCCCGCCCCATTTTCTTCGCGGGCTTTTATAGGCATGATTATTTGCATAAAAATTTTCATTTTTAAGCCTAAAAGGTGATGTGCGCGCGGGCTTTCCCTGCCCCACCGCTTTCTCCGCCCTACACTCACTTTTTTTGCGGGACAGGCCTAGGTTTTAGGCCATCATCCTCAA